TTATAATATAATATTTTTATTGTATATTATATTATATTACATATTATAATATATAACTATTATATAATATTTTTTAATTATATTATAATATTAAAGAGTAATTATTGAAAAAACAGAGAAAAGAACTTGAAATGATTATTCCTCTCACGTGAGGAATGAATAATGATTCACTCAAAATGGGTGAATGATCATTCATATTGAATGATTATTCCTTTCTCAAAATGGGTGAATGATTATTCATTTTGAATGACTATTCTTTTCTTATATATCTAACTGAACATCAAACTTAAATATCATTCTATTTTATTCATTTTTTTTCACCCAACCAAACACATTCTTAACTGCTATTAAATTCTCTGACAATAAATAATAAATATATTTTTCTGGTGACAATGTAGTAGAAGTAATTGTAGTACTACTCATGAAGAGACTTCTAATCTCTCCCACTTACCCAAAATATGTAATAAATAACAACTTATAAGCACTGTTGACTGGTTCTCCCTAAAAAGGACAAAAGAATAAAAAAAGAAAGAAATTGAGTAGACAGAATTTCTTCTTCTGGTTTTTGCACAAGTGGGCTTCTTTTTATGTTTCAGATGTCAAGGAATATTTATATGTGTGTTGCTAGCTATGTATTATAGTTTCTGCAAATATACACAAGTTTGTCAGAACAACATGGAATGGACCAAAATGTATACCTTCTAAATCACAAGGTGGAAAAAAAAGTGTGTTTCAATCGATGATCATGGTTAGCAATTTGCATGGCATATTGCAAGTGGGTTTTGGGATTTTATGAACAAGTGATGAAAATGCGGTTGATATGAACTTGGGGAAACAAAAGTAATATAGGCCATGAAGAAATCTCGGCATGGGTTGTTCTAAAGTCACAAACGACGACATTCCTGGAATACGACAGGATTTAACGAGGAAAGGAAATGAAGCGAGAAATGATTTTTAGCTATCTTAAACGACCACGTGTCTTAAAAGCGACAACAATGGGATATATAGGGGACGTTTGATTGTAGGATTCAAACCATAATTTGAATCATAGTTCATGGTTCGTTACAGTGTTTTCTCTCACAAAAAATACACATAAATCGAAAATAATTCTAATCACATAATTCTAATCCATGAACTAAATGTCTCCATATTTTTTTTAAAAGGCAAGAATTCGGGATACGACACTAGCTCACAAACGACAAAATTCTCAAGAACGATATTGGATCTTGAACGTGACATCAACTATTATAAACCATTATAAACCAGCATCGATTATAAAATAAACCGTTAAAATACGAGTTGAGGATAATTTTCAGAAAATTTAGGAGGAGTCTGCACTATAAATAATGGGCGTTAATAAAAACGACAAGAACTCTTACAATCCACAACAGTTTATAGAACGGCGACTTTATAACTGAGAACAGAAGAGAATGTGATTATTACTATTGGTACCAGTTTAGTCTTTTATCACGTTTTGATATAAGATTTGTTGAAACAAATGAAAGTAAGAACATGAAATAATGAAAGACACATGAGAAATGGTATTGTAGTTCGGTAACTATATACTCTGCGGGGTCATGCCTAGATAATAAATAATTCACTATGAACTTAATTTGCAACTCAACAAGGTCTTAAACTCCTCAAGACTCCCTCTTAAGACAAGACGCCTATGAACTGTTATTTCCTAATAGACTTGATTAGCGAGATTCTCTCGATTTACAATGTTGAAATCCATTCAACTAAGTTTTTTTTCTGAAAAATTATAAAAATTACATACGCTCAACCTTATCTCTCAAACCCAGAGAAATTTATTACAAGGCATACAGAAATAAGAATGAGACTTTTTTTTTAAATAGACGAAAAAGAACAATTAATAAGATCTTTAAAATGATTTGCTGCACTTCAGTCTGTTGCAACAATCACTGCAACGTAGTTATAAAAAAAAATAAACAGATAATCAGCCATATTAATTTTTAAAATCTTTTTATAACTGTCATATGAACCTGAACGTATACTTAGGAAGCATATGCGAATAGGTCAGCTGCAATATTACATTCAAATATCAATCACCAAATTACCAAATATGGATTAAAAGTTGACTTTCAAAATAAATAACTTTTTGAAGTTTCCAAATCAGCACAAATTTTTCAAACCACCAAACCGAATATCTCCAGCTGTCAATCTAATTTCCATAAGATTTCAACTTACCAAAAATAACTAAAGTTGACCCTCATCAAATCATATCAAAATGAATGACTTTAAACAGTTCCTAAATAATCAAAACCTTCCAAAAAAATCATACCAACTGCCATAAAATCTCCAATTAGATCAATTACAAATCATGCCCAAAATAATGCCTAACATCAAATACGAAAAAAATACCAGTCATCAAAACAAGATCCCAACATTAACCGTATTGTCATACCAACGACAAAGCATATGTTAAAACGAAAATGTTTTCTGCAAGTAAACCATATTATTAAAAACAACAAACATCCAATAAGTGACATTTGTCCCATAAAACGACAATCTGTATAATGAACAAAAACAGTTTTGGAAAAACAACCATAGAACACAAATGACAAAATTTTTCAAGAATCTCACTTGTAAACGACAGCAGTAACTAAAACGAAATTGTCACAATAATACAACCTAAAAAGTAAAAAAAAAAAAAAAACGGTAACGGTTCTGGAAAAGCACAATAATTCAAAAAACGACAGCATATTTATGTGTGACAATGATGGAATTAAATAAAATGTTGGAAATAATACTCTGATAAACGCGAATAAAACACGGACGAGCAGCGGTAAAGAAAGAAAGAAAAAGAAAAGCGGTAAAAAAAAAAAACACGAACGTCTATATTTTTTAAAGCAAAAAATTTAGAGGAACACGACATCTCAGTTAAAAAAAGTACAAAAACGACATTATTTATTTGAACCGACAACTGACCTTGATAATGATGATGACAGAAAAACGGGGCAATGTATTTATTAATGACTAATACGATTATACTTTATACGATGAGATTTATAGATATTTTGAAAGACTCTACGCTGCAAATGATCGTTGATGAAGGAATAATATAGGCCCCGTTTACTTTGTTGATTCGAGTTTAGAATTTGAGTTGAGATATGACTTTATGTGAAAACTTTTTACTGTAGCAAAAAAGTTAGATGTGATTGTTTGTGAGAGTTTTTTACTGTAGAAAAACTTGAATTCTAAACTCGAATCAACGAAGTGAACGGGGCCATAATTCTCGTAAACGACAACTTTTTGTTTTTATTTTTTTGAAACTAAACAACAACTTTAGACCAATTAATCAAAAGAGCAGCGACTTATATAAAAACAGGTGAATGATAAGATATCATATAAACCACAATAATCAACAAAAACGACAATAATATGTAAACTGATCCTAGTGACAGGACCTTTTTTTTTTTCAAAAAAAAAAAAAAAATGAATGAATGAAAATGTATCAGAACTGAAATGGTCGGTCATGAGTAATAGCTTCTATAAACAACAAGGTAAAAAAACGACAAAGTATCAAACGAACGACAATAATGCATGAAAACGATAATAGGTACCAGGTAGAATAAACGTGAAGAGCTCATAAAACCACTTACGTTTCAGAAAAACGACAATAGAATACGAAAGACAATATTTTTTGAAGCGACAAAAACTTTCTGAAGTACAAGTTTACGGCAACCTCTCGTGTAATGACAAAAGTAAGTAACAAAAAAACGACAACTTATCCTTTAACAATACAACGATTAGATTTCTTAAATATTATGGGGGTCGTTTAGTTTATTAATTTGAATTGAGATATAATTTTATGTGAGAATTTTTTACGATAATAAAAAAATTAAATATAACTATTTATGAGAACTTTTTACTATAATAAAACTCGAATCAGTGAAATAAACGGACTAAAGACTTCTATGCTACAAATTGCATATGATCCTTGATGAATGAACAATGCGTTTCTTGACAACGCATTAAAAAAAAAAAAAGATTTCTCCAGAAACTGGTGACAGAATCCAATCCACATTTGAATTACCTAATTTTCTTACTATCATTAGCAAGATTTTACTGTTGATATTGTTTTATTTATGATTTTATTGCTGTTATTATTACTATTATTGATTTTATTTGCTAAATCAGAAAATCCAATCCATTAATTGTATCACCAATCACTCGAACGGAAAAAAAAAAAAAAAAGATGCTGGAACGCCGTTTCTGGTTTCTCCAGACTCTTCTACCCCCTCCACACGTGGCGATACCACATTGCTTAATAGTCTAATCCTTTTCGCGCCTTTTTTCTATTCTGTTATTTTTTTGCGTTCACTACCGTAGTCATCGCCAAGCGTGATCCGGACCGTTTAATTTACACAGATCGGAGGGCCCACATGACCCCGTGCTAGAAGCTTCTTCTTCCTATATCTTCTTCTTCCCTGCACATATTCACGATCGTGATCGACTCGTCGTGAATTCAGTCTTCAGTTCTTCTGATTTGTTTCCTCTCATTCAACATTCCAAGGTATGCAAATTCTTTGACATGATCGCGTAATATATTTTTCGATGTTTGAAATGCGTTTGCTTCCATAGAAAATGCAAGAAAATCAAAAGGAAAAATGATGTTGAAAACAACGCACAGAATCGAATTCTAACCTTTTCTTTTTGTTTGGATTGATAATCGATCGGAGAATTAAGTTCGTCAGGAAATGGGGAAGTCGTACCCGAAAGTGAGCGAGGAATACCAAAAGGCCGTAGAGAAATGCAAGAGGAAGCTTCGAGGCCTCATCGCTGAGAAGCACTGTGCTCCTATCATTCTCCGACTCGCGTAACCTCTCTCTCTCTCTCTCTCCCGATCGTTTTTTACTTTTCATTTTTTTGATAATATCTTTTGCCACTGAAGAATGAAGAATAAAATAACATTTTTTGGTTCACTTAAGCTCATGTTGTTTAAAAGTCTGGTTTTTTTTTTTTTATGTAATTTATTTTTTCTTCTGGAAAATTAAGAACAAACGATCATGTTTTGGTTAATTGAAAGGTTAAGTTCTCGGAAATCTCCTTTTTTTTTTTTGTAATTTCTTTTTCCTCTGAAGATTTAGGAATATGTGAAGATGTTTTGGTTAATTAAATCAAGTTCGTGGAAAAGGTTTTCTTTTTTTTTATTTATTATAATTTCTTTTTCTTCTGCACAAATAAGAATAAGCGAAGTTATTTTTGGTTAATTAAAGCTTTTGTGGCAGTGTTGTTTGGTAATGATGTAATATAGATTCAAAGAATGTGACAAAAAATGAATTAGTAGAAAATCTTATCATATGCTATTTAATAAGTTCCTAAGTTGGAACCTTTTTAATTGTGCATAAATTGTGCTTAAGCTTTTTTTAGAGAATTGGTAATCTAATACAATGGTTGATCATGTAGATGGCAATCAGCTGGCACTTTCGACGTGAAGACGAAGACTGGAGGGCCGTTTGGGACCATCAGGCACCCGGCGGAGCTCGGTCACGTTGCAAACAATGGCCTCGACATCGCGGTCAGGCTGTTGGAGCCCATCAAAGAGCAGTTTCCAATCCTTTCCTATGCAGACTTTTACCAAGTATATCATATATGTCTAATAATAGTCCCGTTCATTTCACCGATTCGAGTTTACAATTCGAGTTTTGCTATAGTAAAAAGTTCTAAAAAATAATCACATCTAACTTTTTTACTACAGTAAAAAGCTTTTACATAAAGTCACATCTTAACTCGAATTAAAAACTCGAATGAGCGAACTAAACACACCCTACAATTTTTTGACCTGAAACAAAAAATTTTGGTCCAACCTTTCTTTTAAATTTTTGTTTTTTTGATTGTTTTGTATTTACATGTCTAATTTGTTGATTGAAGTTGGCTGGAGTTGTTGCTGTTGAAGTCACTGGAGGCCCTGAGATACCTTTTCACCCAGGAAGACCCGTAAGCTAGTCTTCCAATTCTATTCTACTTCTATGTATTGTGTCTTTGATATGTACATATTTGAAGCAAAACCCATTAGTGATTTTACCATCATGTGGAGAAATGAAAGTAAAGAGAGAATTTTCTAGGAAAGAAAATGAAAGAAAGTTTGAGAGATAAAATCTCGAGGAAGAATATCTGAAACTGATCAATTGAAATTTCTTCTGAGAGTTGCACATCAGGACTTGTGAATACAGAGTTGAGGTAAATAAAGTGTGATCAGTTTGACTAATCTGACCAATCAAAGCGTTACATTTGTCGCGGCTTCTAACACTTGCATAATTAACAGACTCTAGAATCTGTTTTGACGCAGGATAAACAAGAATTACCACCAGAAGGTCGCTTGCCCAATGCCACAAAAGGTTGACTTGATTTGTTGCTTCATCTAACTGAAAATACTAGCAAGATTAATTACAAGTGTTTATATATATATATATATATAGGTATAGGTATATGTCTGTGTGAAGCATAATATAGTAAACATTCAACTTAACATTCACGTTAAAAACCAAAAAAATTATTATTTGCCTGTGTGAAACATAATATGTCTGTGTGAAGCATAATACAGGCATTATTCTTTTCACAACTCAAGTTTTATTGCTGCAGTATTTTCTCTCACAAAAATTCAAATTTCACTTTTTGTTACAGTGTTTTATCCTCACATATACAACTCAAGTTACTTAATTATATCTTTACAACATCGGTGTTATACAATACTATTGAATAAATGTAATGTTATGCTTTCATTTTTAAATGTTACGGGGAAGTAGAGGACCATACCAAAAGTCTATATGTATGATTGGAAAAGGCAATAACAATAAGGTATAATTGTTGTCGTTTGACCACATTTATACAGGTTCGGATCATTTGAGAGATGTTTTTGGCCATATGGGTCTCAGTGACAAAGATATCGTTGCCTTATCTGGCGGTCACACCTTAGTCAGTCCATCCCATACAAGTTATTATTTGCCTTAATATAGAATCTTTTGTTCTTTCTTTCTTTCATTATTATTATTATTATTTTCATTACCTAATCATGACACTATTTTCTGACTTGGAAAATTCTTTTCTCGCAGGGTAGGTGTCACAAAGACCGCTCTGGATTTGAAGGACCGTGGACAACCAATCCTCTAATTTTTGATAACTCTTATTTCAAGTAAGTAATTGTGTCCTGTTGATGAAATTTATTTCGTTTAGTGCATATTTTTGTATCAACATTTTTTGTGTGTGTGTTATATTTATGCTTGTGACTTGGCAAGGTTAAAGTTGATGAATGAACTAATTTATATGGTTTTCTTTGAACAGAGAGCTTCTTAGTGGAGAGAAAGAAGGTCTTATCCAGCTTCCATCAGATAAAGCTCTATTAGAGGATCCCATCTTCCGTCCTCTTGTTGAGAAATATGTTGCAGTGATTACCCTCTTATATATATATATATATACTTCAATATACTCTTTATAATTTTGATCGAAAATCTTCTAAATAGAATAATATTCTTAAAGCAAAAATGGGGTTTTATTTATTTATTTTTTTGAAAAAAAATTAAATAAAAGAAAGAGAGTAGAAACTTTAACTTTGGTTCTGATATTTAGGATGAGGATGCATTCTTTGCTGATTATGCCGAAGCTCATTTGAAGTTATCGGAGCTTGGGTGAATATATATAAACAGACCTCATTTTTTCAGTCTTATTTGTTTTTCACAATGCGTTATACATCTCACAATCTCTCCCTCTCTCTCTCTCTCTCTCTCTCTCTCTAGATTTGCTGGTGCTGAGTAAGGTAATGCCTGGCATGTGTGGCAGCCTGTGTAATGTGTACTAAAGTTCCCGTGTTTGCCATTTCATGCCAAGTTTCTTGAGTTTTGTTGTTGAATTGCATGTTCTTGTTATGGAAATAAGAGTCTCATAACTCTCAGAAAGTTTATTTGTTTCCATTTATTTGTATGACTAATGTAATGTGTAATTGATAATATTATGGGGTCATGTATGTATGTGGGTTTCAATGTATGAGATGAGCATATTTTTCTTCTTTCTTTTCTAAAAATTCAGAAGCTAATTGTCAAAATTAAAATTGAAAGTTCACCAACCAAAATGTCATTATGCTTAAAGTTGAAGAACCAACCTTGCTAATTATCATATTTTTGAATTATTTCTAATACCAACTAAAATGTCATTATGCTCAAAGTTGAAGAACCAACATTGCTAATTATCCTATTTCTGGTTTATTTCTGATTTATTTCTAGTACCAACCCAAATGTGATTTTGCTCAAAGTTGAAGAACCAACGGCTGTGTTTGAAATTGATCTCGTTTTTATTTTTCACGTTTTTTGAGAAAGAAAAAATGAAAACGTTTTCAAAACGGCATTTGGTGCAATAAATACAAAAAACAAAAATAAAAATGATTTTTTAATTTAGTGTAAAATGAGAGAAATAAAAAATGACTTTCAGTCGTTTTTTATTTTTTGTTTTCATTTTCTCCTCTCTCGAGCGCAGAGAGAAAGAGAGATATTAATGGATTTTTTTACACTAAAAATAATATCTTGATAAAACTACCAAACACATTTTTAAAAATGATTTCAGATTGAAAACTTTTTCATTTTCATTTTCATACAAAAATAAATTCATTTTAGAACGAATTTTAAACGCGCTAAACATCGCTAATTATCCTATTTCTGATTTATTGCTAATTTTCTTTTTGTAAAGATCAAACAAAGCTCATCTTGCACTTTGACAAAAGGCATCGGTAGCACTTCATCATTCCCTCTGGGGAAAAAAAAATACAAGGCAAATCAGGATCCAATATGGCAAAAAGTGAAATTGGCGAAGACTAAGAAGTGGGCTTTTTGAGAATTTTGTGGTAGGTATAACAAAAATTATCCTAATGATGCCTTTAAGTTCTTGACGGTTACTTGAACAAATTTTGTGAAAGCTATATTAGCAAATCAGAATTTAGTTCCAATACATATGGATATAGCAAATCAGAATTTAGTTAAATTATGATATGATATATAAGTAGTGAATGGACAATAAACTTGAAGGTAAATTTTATGTACATATTTAACAAAAGTTGATGTTACTTACCATACCTAAAGAATTATCATTTCATTTCATTTTCTACCCTTTTTATTTATCTACCCTCAACAAGATCCAAGAATATTACTAGCATGGCTACTATGAATTCATGATCCTAAACTTCAGCACAAATGGTAAATATCTCGGATTAGTTATTATCTTGGAGATTTACCTTGGATTCAGTTTCCATTTTGACAAATTTCATTTTACTAATTCGAGTTTAGAATTCAAGTTTTGTTACAATAAAAAGCTCTCAGAAACAGTCACATCTAACTTTTTCGCTACAGTAAAAAACTCTCACATAAAATCACATATTAATTTAAATTAAAAACTCAAATCAGTGAACTAAACCGGCCGTTAATCCTTCTTTGTTTTGCCCTTTTCTCGGTTAATCATTTGTTCCTTTGCTGTTTGACAATAGCATGCGTTTGACGTCTTCTCCAACAGTAAAATATTGAAGAAAACAGGTTTGACTAGCTAGCTACATTTTCACACAAGGTCAAAAATGGTAGAAAGAAAACGACACTCTGAATATTCTTTACACTAATATTCTAATAAGATATATTACCACAAAGACCTACTGGATCTTGTTCTGGACGACACGTGACGATCTTGTCAAAAAGCGCCAAGATCAGATATATTATTTCACCTCAGATACGACAACGACCGGTCCTTTCGAACTCCGACCCCCTTCCTTGCGATCTCCCATGAGTTTCGTCGTCGCCTGTCGCTCGCCATCGCAGAGATTGAGATCTACTCCATCGCGATTGAGGCTAGAGAGAGAGTCGCCGACCAGCTCGGCTTAGTGCCAGAATCGCAAAGAGTCGCCGTCGTCGAAGAGCTTCAACTTCTGGCGGGGAAGAGAATCTGATATATATGAAATTATGGCAGCGTGTTTTTTCTGGTGTAATTTGGTTTTTTGGAATGAAGAAAACAAAACCGGAATTAAATAACTGAGAAATTATGGCAGCGTGTTTTTTCTTTTTTATGTGCGTTATCTGTGTTTTTTCCACATTTTCCTGTGTCCATGTTTTAGAAAAAAAAAAAACCTTTATTAGAGTGCACGCGTGGTGTCTGATTGGTCCGTTTGGATATAATTAGGTCTTATTCAGTTCGTTGATTCAAGTTGAGATGTGATTTTATGAGAGAGCTTTTAACTGTAGCAGAAAAAGTTAGATGTGCTTTTTATGAGAACTTTTAACTTTAACAAAACTGGAATTGAAAACTTAAATTTGTGAAATGAACGAGGACTTAGATATGAGATGGTTTCAATTTTTAGTTTTATAAGTAATTATAATGTTTCCTTACCAAAAAAAAAAAAAAGTTATAACTCTAAATCTTTTTAAGTTTTTTTGTTTTAAGTTAAAAACCACAAAATAGCTAACAATAGTTCAAAAATTAGGCTCCAAGGAGAGTCTTGTGTCTAGAGCTTTACTTAGAACTTGATGTTGAATCTTTGATTTTAGAACAACTATAGTTGATGTAGATATTATAGAGAGAATACCGTTCTCAAACTTGCAAGAGAGCAACAGCAAGTAGGACTGTAAGAAATCACCCTGAACTCGACGAATCCGGCCGAGCCGAGCCGACCCTACTCGAAAATTACGGGTTTTCAATTTTTTATTTAATTTTCGGTTTTAATTATGCCTAATCTGTACTGCGCGGGTAGGGGCACAGGATGGGGTTACATGAACCCGAGGTAACCCTACCCGGCCGAACATGTTCAAAGTTGGTAAAACAATGTCCAACACTTCAAATTCTTACTTTCATAAGTTTATGGACTTTATGCATTTAAACTGTTAACTTATTTATGTTTGGATTCACGGCTTGTGTAAAAAATGCTTGTATATCATAGTTGTTGAATTAGGACATTCTTTACTTATATTGGAAGTGTTTGATTTCAAAGTGAGTGTTTTAATTGTTTACCTTGCATTTAGGCCCCCTCTTGAAGGAAAGATATGTTCTGTTTGATAATGATTTCTTCTGTAACAAGAACATATTAATTGACTAAAAAGTGATCATGTGGTGCTTGAGATCACCAACCTGAGTAACCCGACCCTACCCGAGGTCACCCGAAAGGTTGCAGGTTTGTAGACTTAAGAGAGTGTCGCGGCCAAAAATTTCTCAACCCGCATTGGTCGGGTAGGCTCAAGTTTTCGACTCAACCCTACCCTACCCGGCCGATTTACACCCCTAACAGCAAGTGCAAAACCACATAGGAAAGCACGGACCAACTTAGCTTCAACTTTACCAACTTGGTCGACATATTCATAGAACTTTTTTTTTTTTTTTTAAAAAAGAAGCTAAAGGAAAAAAAAGGTTTATTAGGATTTATCTCAAAAATAGTTTATATATTTATTGTTTTAACTTTATTTTGGGTTTATCAGTATTATTTACTTTATGAATTAGTTCTATTTCTATTATGATAATTAGTTTTAGATCTATTAGAATTCAACCAACACAAAACTTATAAATTATTTATGCCCATGACTAATTTTTGACTGCAGTATTCATTCGGTTGGTCTTCTAATTGTTCAACTCTCATGATCTCTTCCATCTATATGTTTGGCCAGTTGAAAAATCAGAATAGGAAGAGTACATGTAGATGGAAGAGTATATGTGAGTTGAAAAATCAAAAGAGGAAAACGTCAAAATGGCGATTGGTGACGAGAATGTCTCTGAAACAGAGACGAGACCAATTGGTTCTTTCTTGTGACAATGATTTTGACACATAAAGAATTTAACTAGTTTGCAGCAAAAGAGAACTTGGTTTTAATCCGATCGAGGTTTCTAGAGTAGAGTTACCAACTGGTAGTGTGCATTTAGATGTGTGTTTGATAGACAATTGAAGGATAAGTTTTAGCATTATTCGGATTTTATCTTTTAGTTTAGATTTATTGTTTTAGTTTAATTTTAATTTATCATTATCATTTATCTTTTAAATTAGTTCTAATTCTATTATGATTATAATTTTAATTGTATTTGGATTCAAACAAAAAGTTGTAAATTATGTACCTTAATGGTATTCGCTCAATAAAAATTCATTGGTTCTTCATCTTCTTCAATAAGTGATTCCGGTTTGGTCCTCTGACTCGGCCACTGTCTTCTGACTTAGCCACTGTCCTTCCTCGTTGGCCCTAGCCGTTTCAACGTAAAAAGGACAAAAAAAGCAGAATTCATCTTTACTTACCTTTGAATTGTCGGTTTTTTCAAACTTATTAAATCTTGAGATCCTCTAGTGGTTGATTTCCTATTAAGATCCGTTTATTCAAGCAATACTATGATCAACTTTAGATCCTAACTAACTAGTAACCTTTTTTTTGTTTTTTCCTTTTATAAGCGCATGTAAGGAGACAGTCCACGGAAGGACCATCTTTTCCTTTTTTTTGTTTTTTCCTAACTACTATGATCAACTTCAAGGAGACAGTCCACGGAAGGACCATCTGTTCTCTAGTCAATATGCTTTCTTTTGTCGTGAAGCGCGGATAGGTGAACTTGTATGGTTTGGATGATTATTAGAGCATCTAGGATGCACAATTAAAACTTATTAGAGCAATATAAAAGAATTAAAAGATTTTTAATTTTGCAATATAAAACTTACTAGAGCATCTATGATGCATTGTCAAATTAAATATATTTTACAAATAATTCACATAACTTTGTAAAAACGTATTTCCTATAGTTTTTATTTTCTCTCTTTTTTTTTTCTCTGCATTGGTATGGATTCTCTTTAGTTGCACGTAGCCACCTAGGTCGACTATGACATTGTTTTAAAAGCAATAAACAACAATAATGAATAGAACATTCAAAACATAGAAAAATAAAGGGTGTTTTCTGGCAGGACTGAAAAAAATAAATTACCTAAATTCTCTTTTTTTTATTTGTATTATAAACTGTTTGTTTTGTATGTTTTTTTAATTTGATATAATTTTAATCAGATTTAAC